GGACCCCCCCCCCCACCTTTCCCCTAAAGCCTTCCCAGGCCCGGTGGCCCACGAGCCTGGGGCCGAAAACCCCCCCCCCCCCCCCCGCCCCCCGCCCCCCGCCCCCCGCCCCCCGCCCCCGCCCGCCCGCCTGAGCTCCCCCCCCTCCCCCTTTCAGTCCTACAAGTCCGCGCCAAAGCCCTCCCTGGTGTGATTCGGTCGACAATGGCCCGGAGCTGTTTGTCCCACGGCGGTTTGGGGCGGGGATAGGGAGGCCGTAAAGGCGCGCAGCAGGCGGGAGGCCGCAGCGGGTACATGGCCCATGGCCCATAGGTACGTCGCCGGTGATGCGCATCGATGCGGAGAGAGCCATCGCCTTAGAGAGGCCTGTCGGGAGAGGTGTGCCGTGTCTGAGGGCGCGCTGTCCCACCTCACCGAGGCTCTTGTACCTTGTGCCCGCCTCATTAACTCTCCCTGTTACAGTCGAGACCGCGAGCAATCTCTCTCGTAGCACTCGTGTACCGTACCCACACCTCTCACGCTCCGCAAAGGACCAACCAGTCGCCACACACACACACACTCCGCGCACCGCGGACCGCGCACTTCCCACGAGGCACACGACACAAACACGACACAAAGAGTGAAGAGTGTAAAAAAAAAGCAACCCGAGAGAGGCAGAGGGTCAAGGCGTCGCATCTCACGGCGTCACGCTCACGGCACACGGGCGGCACCGCGCACCCCCGCCCTCCCCCCCAGCCCCACACTCCACAACGGAACAGCGCACAGCGGTCGTGACTGGTGACTCACGTGTGTGTGAGTCGTGTGAGAGCGTGTGACCGTGCTCCGTGGTGTGTTTTCGGCCTTTTCCGATTTCCCGGCGCAGGAGACATGCGCGGCTCAGACGACAGACGACCACACGCAGCTCAGCCAGCTCACACAGGCCGCGAGCAGACAGCGCCTGCTGGCCATCTCGAGACATTCGCAAAGAACGCTAGCTACATGGGAGGGCTTCGTGAAGGATGGATTGAAAAACATTCGAACAAAGAAGAGGCGACGGGAGGAACCGGCAGAGGATGCAGTGACGTGACACACACACACACACACACACACACACACACACACACACACACACACACACACACACACACACACACACCGCTCACCCACGCGCACCGGGCCTTGCACTTTGAATGCCGTGGGGCTCCTGTCGTTAGACGTGGAGACGCGAGGAGGTTGCCCCCCCTTGCCCCACCACCTCGTGTGTGTGGTCTGTGGAGAAGTTTACCTTACCTTACCTTACCTCACACAGGCAGAAGAGGCACCGCAAAAACTCCACGAGTTCTCGCACAGTCACGCACACGCGACACCCGGACACAGCGCACACGTATACACGCGCTCGGAAAAGCCAAAAGTGTGAAAAGACAGCCCCCGACAGCCGAGACACGAATATCCGCACACAATCACTTCACGACGCTTCTTACCGAGACTCGGGGCAGCGGGCTCCTGCGCGGCCCGGATGAGCGGTAGGCCTCGTCGCCGCCAGCCTCGGCTCTGGGCCTGGCGCGAGCGGGCGTCCCCCACCGCCTCCGCCCGCCCGCGGGGCTGCACGCGCCCCCCGAGCCGGAGCTTCGGCCGGAGCTCGATGCATGTGAGGCGCGGCCGAGAGTGGGCGAGCCGGGGCCGCGCCCGGACCCGAGCCGCCACCACCTCCCTCCCCTCGCGGGGCCAGACGTGCTCGCCACGCCGTCGCTGAGCGTGCTGCTGCTGGCCGCCTCATCGTCCGCCTCTGCAGCCGGCGGGCTCGCCCCCAGCAGCCGCAGCTGCCTCCTCAGGTCCTCGTTCTCCTTGCGGAGGCTGTCGGCGCTCCGGAGCGCCGAGCCGCTCTCTCGAGGAGAGGATGGGCGGGAGGCGGCGGGGGAGCTCGCGGCGGAAGTGGCGGCGGAAGTGGCGGCGGAAGCGGCGGAGGTGGCGGCGGAGGTGGCGGCGGAGGTGTGGCGTGACGAGGACGGCGACGTCATCTCCGAGAAGTAGCCGCCCGCGTCTGCGATGGAGTCGTCGGCTGCAGCTGCTGCGGTGGCGGCGGAGCTGGCGGGAGGGGCGGAGGCAGTGGAGGTGGCGGCGGCGGTGGGGAGTGAAGCGGAGGCGGCGGCGGCGGCGAGGAGGATGACGGCGGCAGCAGAGGCCTGCGACGACATCTTTCGTCCGGCGAGCAGAGGCGTGTCTGCAGCGTCCTCGGCGCGCGACACTTCGGCGAGCGCCTGATGGACCGATGGAGGGGCTGCGTTACTCAATCACTCAACGGGCGTCCCTCGGCGCAGGACTGCTCGGCGAGCGCCTCGCGTCGGACCGCCCAGAGAGCGCCCGCCTTGGCCAGCTCCTCGGTGGGGGGAGGCGCCCCGTCGGCGGTGCGCATCAGCCGGCGCTGCGCCTGCCGAGCAGAGCACGCCTCGTGCGGACTCACGAGCTACGGATGCAGCTCTGACCGCAGCCGAGTACGTGTGCACTGCTTGCTCGAATACAGGTGTGCTCTCCTCCGCATCTGGAGTCCCAAACCCGCCGCAGCTCCGCCGCACTAAGCTCGAGCGTGTTCCTGCCCCTCCTGCGCCCGCCACCGCCGCCGCCGCCGCGGCGGGCGACCGCGGCAGCCCTCGCGCGCTGCTGCACACCTCCGCTCGGCACGTCACGGCCGCGCCTCCTCGGCCGCCTCACGCCCCCCGCCTCCTCGCCCTCCTCCTTGCCCTCCGCATCGCCCTCCGCCCCCGCGCCCTCCGCCGCCTCCGCCGCCTCCGCCGCCTCCGCCTCCTCGCCCTCCTCGGCCTCCTCGCCCTCCTCCCCCGCCGCGCCCGCCCGCGCCACCCGCTCCGCCAGGCAGTACAGCGCGTCGCGCCCCTCCAGCGGCGCGCGGTACCTGCTCGCAGCGAGTCGTGAGAAGAGACGCCGTTCACAGCTCGCCACTCCGCCAAGCCGCATCACCCGGGCGGCAACGCTCGCTCGGCAGGCGCCTCGGCGGCGGCGGCGGCGCCTGTCGAGCGATCAGAGACGCGGTGACGGCCTCTGTGACGGCCGCTAGGCCCTTGAGAGCGATCACGAGACGGCGCAGACGCGGCCAGGCGACGCCAGCTCCAATCTCGGCGTGATCTCGGCTACTCTCGGCGCCGCGAAGCAGCTCGTCGCTGGTCGGCCGCCGCTGCTGCTCCTTACGCAGGCAGGCCTGGGGACAGGTCCGGCAAACTTCGTGCGTGGTGGTTGCGTGCGTGTGCGTGTGCGTGCGTGTGCGTGCGTGCGTGCGTGCGTGCGTGCGTGCGTGCGTGCGTGGCACACCTCGATCAGCAGCAGCAGCGGCGCGGAGCACTGGCGGCGGGCGGCGGGCGGCGGGCCATGCGCGATCTGCAGCATCGCCGCCATCGGCGCGGAGACGTCGGCAAGGGGCGGAGTGCCGTCGAGGAGCTCGATGAGGGTGATGCCGAGCGACCAGATGTCGGAGGAAGCGCCGCACGCCTCGCATAGTACATCAAGTGACATTATAACACATGACACATATCATATGCATATGGCCAGATGTCGATATTGGCGCCGCGCGCCTCGCCCGTGATGACCTGGCCGGGGGGAGGGGGGGGGGGGTTGGCGGGCGAGGGGCGAGGGGGAAGGGGCTGTGAGGGTGAGGGTGAGGTGGCCACCTCAGGCGCCATCCACTGCGGCGTCCCGGTGACTAACTAACCCTCACCCTAACCCTATGTCACCTCCGGCGCCATCCACTGCGGCGTCCCGGTGACTAACTCACCCTCACCCTAACCCTATGTCACCTCCGGCGCCATCCACTGCGGCGTCCCGGTGACTAACTAACCCTCACCCTAACCCTATGTCACCTCCGGCGCCATCCACTGCGGCGTCCCGGTGACTAACTCACCCTCACCCTAACCCTATGTCACCTCCGGCGCCATCCACTGCGGCGTCCCGGTGACTAACTCACCCTCACCCTAACCCTATGTCACCTCCGGCGCCATCCACTGCGGCGTCCCGGTGACTAACTAACCCTCACCCTAACCCTATGTCACCTCCGGCGCCATCCACTGCGGCGTCCCGGTGACTAACTCACCCTCACCCTAACCCTATGCCACCTCCGGCGCCATCCACTGCGGCGTCCCGGTGACTAACTCACCCTCACCCTAACCCTATGCCACCTCCGGCGCCATCCACTGCGGCGTCCCGGTGACTAACTAACCCTCACCCTAACCCTATGTCACCTCCGGCGCCATCCACTGCGGCGTCCCGGTGACGCTCGAGGCGGAGAGGTCGCCTGTTCACAGCTGGAGGTGTGAAGAGCGAGCCTCCTCCCGGTGGCGCTGAAGGAGGGGAGAGGTCTCCGATGCAGCTCGAGACGCCAAAGTCTGCGATCTTGACCACCCCTCCCCGGGTGAGGAGCAGGTTGCCGCCCTTGACGTCACGGTGCAGCGTGCCCCGCTCCACGTGCAGGTACCGCAGCCCCTGCAGCACGTCGTGCGCAGCGGCGGCCGCCTCGGCGTCCGAGGGAGGCCCCACCTAGAAGAGAGAGGAGAAACGGCTCCGAGCGCGCCCCGAGGAGGGTCGGCCCAGCGTGCTAGACATGTCCCCACCGCCCTCACGACCTCTTGCAGCGAGCCGCGCTCGCAGAGCTCCAGCAGCACCCACACCTCCCCCGCACCGGGGAGCGGGAAGGCGCCCAGGAACGGGACGATGTGCGGGTGCGAGAAGGAGCGCAGGAGCAGGATCTCGCGCTCGAGCTCGAGCTGCACCTTTCATCAGATTCACACAGCTCCCAACAAGAGCCATACCTGATCTCGCGCCTCGAGCTCGAGCTGCACCTCGCCCGGCGCGAGACCCTCCTGCAGCGGCACTATCTTGACGGCGACATCGCGCCCGGACCCCTCGCGCCCGCGCCAGACGGAGCCGTAGCAGCCGCCGCCCAGCTTGTCCAGCAGCCTCGGTGCCTCTGGCCCAGGCTGCGGCTGGCCGCCGACCCCGACACCGGCCCGGACTGCCGCAGCCGCCTCGTCGCGCTTGGCCGTCGCCAGAGAATACAACCGAGGTGGCAGTTCGGAATGTCTCGCGGCTGCGAGGAGCCTCGTGTACAGCGCCAGTGCTGGAGCCGGCATGTGCAGCTTGAGGAGCATGTTTGCGGCCGACAGCGCGAAGCGCGGCTCACCTGGCACCATCCGACGCGCTGCGTCGAAGCAGCGGAGCGCTTCGCGCGTGTCACCGTTCCGATTCAGCTCGAGGCCCTCCGCGTTGAGCGCGGCGGCCCGTCGCCTCATGAATACGAAGAGAAGGGACTGCCGGACCGCCTGTGGCTTGCCTCAACAAGGTCCAACTGTTGCGCCGGTGGCGCATTTCTTCCCGGCGTGCAATAGCCTCTTGCGACGCAGGTTCCGACCCTCTGCGTGGCCGACTCACACAGCGAGCCTTCCTGTCTCTCTGCTGCCGATTCATCGGTGGTGCTCAGTGGCCCTCAGTCAAGATATTGTAGAGACCGACCATATGCGCAATATCTTGACTGAGAGCTATTAATTAAGCCCCGTTCGACGATCGGTAGCCTCACCGCGGGTCGCGCCGCTGTGCAGCGAGAGCCAGGCTCGCCCGGCGAAGGTGACCAGAGAGCGCTCAACAAAACCAGAAAAATCAGGGAGCCTCAGAGAGTGCCACTGCCACCACCCAGGCCGCGGGAGCCGATCGGCTGCGCCGAGGACAGCTCCCTCAGTGTGCTCCGCGCAGTGTGCGTCGCGGCGCCGTCCAGCCACTTTGGCGGCCAGCCACCAGACGAGTTCTTCGACTCTGAAGGACAGAAAGGTACCGTCTGAAAGGTATTTTCATGCTCTATTGACTGGCGAAAAAATCCTCCGCCAAATATTTTCACAGCCGGTGTGACAATATACCTACAACACCGAAGCATAAGTGGTGCAGAGATTGGTTATTTCCACAATCAAATCGTCCGTGCAGAGTGCTTGATTCACGGACAGCGAGGCTGCCCGCATGTCAATCGTTGCCCGCAAGCGGAGCTCCCCACCGGCGGGTTTGAAGACACTGAGCCGAGCGCGCCGGCGGCGGACCGCCGCCGGCGCGCTCGCTTCGGCGGATGGCTGAGCGGCACAGTTTCTGGCCGCCCGGCCTGCGAGCAGTTGCCGCGAGACGATCGAAGGCGCTCAGTTCAAGCGCGCCGCCATGCCAGATCTCGCCCCACGCCCCGACCAGACCGGGCAGTGCGTGCAGGAATGATACAGGCATGATGGGCGGGTGTGGTGAGCACGCCAGCGGCACCGTTGCGCACTCTCAGGGTCGCAGCCGCCTATCTCGTGAGGGGCGTGGCTCGGGGCGGGTGCGAGTGAGTCGAGGAGCGCGGCGTGCGCGTGCGCGCGCGTGGTAAAGTCGGTTTACATTTCATCACTGGTATAAAAGAGAACCAAAACCCCACCCGCGCCGCGCGCACGCGCGCTCGCATCACCTCAACACTCACACAGCAAATCAAAGATGCGGGCAGGCGCGCTCCGTTCGAGTTTCTTCGATCAAAAAAGGGACGGGGGCGAATCTCTGCAGAAAAAGAAAGAAAGAAAACACACAACCCAAGGGAGGGATGCACAGCTCATGAGTGAAGCATGAAGAGTTTTGTTAGCATCAGTGAGCAACAGTGAGGCTGGCTGGTCGGTGTGTTCCTCGTGTGGCCCGCCTTGCGTGCTGGGAGGAGCAGGGAGAGACTGACTGCTGGCGACCGAAGGACATGGGTGCTCAAGGCCTTCACACCCACCGGCAGTGCTCGCGGTCCTCTCTGCGCCTCCGCCTCGAGCGGAGGTCGGGCGCCGCCGCCGCTGCCACTGCTCCGCCTCCACGGCATGCCGACGCCTCTGAGGCCGCCGAAGCAGTGCTCCATTCGCTTGCGGAGCTGTTCGCAGCACGCGGCTGGCAGCCACCTCCAGCCGCACGGCGCGACGGCGGGCTGTGGCTCCTGACGCGCGAGCAGCTCGCTGCACTGCCTCCGCCGCAGATGGCCGCCGCCGCATACGGCACACCATGCTTCGAGCCGTACTTTCGCTGCGAGCGCGCGCTTCCCGTCGCGGACTGCCGGCGGCGGGCGGGCGGGCCGCTGCCGGCGGCGGCACTAGAGCTGGTGCGCGCCGGCATGTGCTGCGTGCTCGACGGCGCGCGGCTGTGGCCTGCGGCCGAGGACAGGTCCCTGGCTGAAGACATGTTCCTGCCGCTAGGACCCTACCCTAACCCTGACCCTAACCCTCAGGTGGGGCTCCGCGGCGTACCTGCGAGAGGAGCTCAAGGGATGCGCTTGCGCCGTGCTCTCGTCGCCCGCAACCAGCCGCCGCTTCTCGTACTGGTTCGACCAGGAGAGCACCTCTGCCCGCGCCTCGTCCGGGTTCAGAGAAGGGGTCAGAGAAGGGTCAGAGAAGCTTCCTGCACTCCTCCCAGGCGAGCCACTCCGACCGCGTCTCTGCCGGGTACGAGGCGAAGCCGCTGGCGAGCGGCGGACTCAAGAGGGAGCAGCGGCGCGAGGCCGTCCGCGAACCTTCTCGGAACCTTCCGGCAGGTGAGCAGCCTCACGATGAGCATCGGCGAGTACCTCGACTCCGCGCAGGCGCAGCTCCCACCCCCGTTGCCCCGACCGCCGCCGCCGCTTCGACCGCCGCCGCGCTCGCCGCCGCCCTCGCCGCTACCTCCGCCGCCGACGCCGCCCTCGCCGCCGCCGCCGCCCTCGCCGCCGCCACCGTCGGGCTTCGCCGCGAGCCGCGCCCTGCTCTCGCCGCCGCCTCCACCACCACCGCCCTCGCCGCCCGCATGACCGCCACTCCTTCGAGCACAGGCGGGTCCGAGCCACGGCCGCCGCTGCCTCTACCTGCAGCAGTCGGTCCTGCAGGCCGCCCGCTGAGATGTGTCGAGATGTCGAGATGTGTCGGTCCTGCCGGCGCCAGCAGGAGGGTCCCACGCCACCGCCGCAGCGGTAGGGGTGGGAGCTGCTCCTGCGACCCACCTCTTCACTGGGAGGCGTCCGCTCTCTGTATGCGATGCGCAGGCGCCTGCCGACGGCTCGCTTAATTAACTAACAATTACTAATTAATTAGCAGGCGCCTGCCGACGGCTCGGTCCAGCAAGGAGCCCTCCTGCCCTGCGCCGGCTTGGGCGAGGGGATGAGGCGCGCCCGGGATGGACCTGCCCGCCTTCGACTCCCTGGCCCGGCCCTGACCCTGGCCTCTGGCCCTAGGCGCGACATCGGGAGCGGGATCGACCTGCAGGCCGTTCGGGCGCTTGCCGAGGCGGGCGGCTTCGGCCCGTGGCAGCGCTGCCAGCTCTTTGTCGGCGGCGCCTCTGCCGCAGGCGCGCGAGTCCTCCGCCAGATCAGCAAGTTGCGAAGTGGAGCGAGCCCGCAACTGTGTCGCAGTTTTCTTGCAGGCGCGCGGTCGATACTCCATTTCGACCAGTACGACAATTTGTTCGTGCAGATCTCGGGCTGGAAGCGGTTCCGCGTCTACGACCCGCAGCAGACGAGGCGCCCCTGCCCGTACACCCGAGTACGGCCAGACGGACCTCACTTCTCCCACGTCGGGCACCTTCTCCTCCCACATTGGCACCTACTACCGCCCACCTGCAGACAGGTCTGGCCCGGCGTCTCTCGTCCTCGCGGTCCTCTCAACCTACCCTAACCCTAACCCTAGGTGCCTCTACCCGTTCCCGATCCACCACCCGCTCGACACACGCGCCCAGGTGCCGCCGCCTCTGAGGCGACCGACCGACCGCCGCTCTCTCGGGGCCCAATCTCGGCTGATCTCGGGTCTGCTCGGCTGCCGCAGGTCGACCTCGAGGCTCCCGACCTGGCCGCCTTCCCGCGCCTCTCCGAGGCGGTCTGCAGCGAGGCAGCCCGCCCCTTCCAAGCCCGCCCCTTCCAAGCCCGCCCCTTCCAAGCCCGCCCCTTCCAAGCCCGCCCCTTCCAAGCCCGCCCCTTCCAAGCCCGCCCCTTCCAAGCCCGCCCCTTCCAAGCCCGCCCCTTCCAAGCCCGCCCCTTCCAAGCCCGCCCCTTCCAAGCCCGCCCCTTCCAAGCCCGCCCCTTCCAAGCCCGCCCCTTCCAAGCCCGCCCCTTCCAAGCCCGCCCCCCTCTGAGCCCGCCGCCACCAAGCCCGCCTCGGCCCTCACCGCGGCCGCTCTCGCCGCCGCCGCCGTCGCCCCCACCGCCCAACCCGCTGCCGCCGTCGCCCACCCCCTCCCTCGCCGCCCCCGTGCGCCCAAAGGTGCTGCTTGGCCCCGGCCAGGCCCTCTTCCTCCCCGCCTACTGGTGGCACGAGGCTCCACGCGCCGCACGATCGCCTCGCCCGAGATCGGCCCGAGATCGACCCGAGAACGGCCCGAGACTAGGTCGTGACCGAGCCCCACGACGGCCTCACCGTCTCGGCCAACTTTTGGTTCGCCGCCGTCTACCGCCTCCTCACGCCGACCCGCCCGCTGGTGCCGTCGATGCAGTGCGAGCTCGCGCGCCAGCTCGAGTACCTCGTCTCGGACTGCCTCTCCGACCGCGCGCGCCTCGTCCCCGCCTTCTTCTCCGCGCTCCGCGCCGCGGTCGAGGCGGTCCACGCCGCGGCGGACGCGCGCTCCGCCGCCGCAGATGCGGCGAGGGCGGACGCGGCGGCGAGCGAGGCGCTGCACGCGCGGCGGCCTGCTGGAGTCGTGCCGCAGGAGTGGCAGGGCTTGTTTGAGTACGTGGTCCGCCAGCTCGGCTCGCTCGTCGGGCACGGGAGCGTGCTCCGCTTCTGCCTCGACTTGCTCGACGGCGGCCGGTTCGCGCGGTTAACTCTGGGGTGAGGCGGCGGCGGGGAGGTGAGAGGTGCCGCGCGCGAGCATGGACGCGACGGCTCCTAAAGTCTCCAGATACAGTATTAAACGCATCTCTGCCGGAGTGTGACGATATCGCCAAAGTCCACAGCCCCCGAAACCTCTCAGGCAGCCGCCCCGTCCCCCCGAAACCGCGAACAAGGCGGTTGCAGGGCCGAGCGTTGTTGATCTCTGGGTCAGTGGGCGCCCGCCCGCCGCCTCTGAGGGGGTCGGGCCCCCCCTAGACTGAAAACAAAAACAAAATGCAGAACCGTCAAAAACAGCCTGCGAGAGCGGCGCTGCGCGCCGCCTACTTCGTGCGGCGGGTCGTGAGTCGGACCCCCACGTGCATGCCACGACCACGGCATCCAAAAAATGGAAAAGTAGACCATAGTCGGATGGGCACGAACCCGCGCAGCGCCGGCTTTGAGCCACACGCTGCGCCTTCCTAGATGTCCATTGTGACCCGATCGTCATCTTTTTCGTCAAAGCCAGCTCCGTCGGTCAACCCGTCATGCGGCAGGTGGCTTGCTTTGGCTCGCTGCCACCGCGGTGGCTCACCAAGGACTTTTCAGCGTGCTGCGTCATCACCACGCGGCGCGCAAGCCACGCCTCACCCGGGCAAAAAGAACGACCGCGCGCCGCCGCCGCCCGCCTCACCGCGCCGCGCCGCCCCGCGCCTCGCCTCGCCTCGCCTTGCAGCAGCGCACGCGCACACGCACCCACGCGCCCGCGCTCGCTCCGCGAGAGCGAAGCAACCCTCCAAGCGAGTTCCGAACCGGGAGCCAAAAGGTCCCGGCTCGAACCGCGAACCGGTTCGACCACCGCCGCTGGCGGTTCTTGCAAAGGCATCAAAGGCAGTGCTTGATATAACGTGAAATAGTGCGAGCGCGCGAGATACTCACCCGACCCACCGTGCCCTCGCGAAAGAGATCTCGCGCCGCGCGCGCTCGCACACGCCGCCCGAGAGCACTCCCACCCCCGCCGCCTCGCAAGCTCACAGGTTGATTTGAGGAGAAGCAGCTGGGGGAGGTCAAAGCGGGAGAAGGCGGCACGGCGGCGGCGGCGCGGCCCCCCCCCATCCCCACGCCTCCGGGTCGTGCGTACCGCCTCCGGGCGCGAGTGTCCCCCCAGCGTCTGCTCCGGCAGTCGCTCCGGTAATCAGGCCGAGAGTACCAGGGAGGAGGGGAGAAGAGCCCAGGGTGGGGAGAGGAGAAGAGCCCAGGGAGGGGGGAGGAGAAGAGCCCAAGATGGCCTCCCTCTCCCTCCCCTCCCACCGGGCCTCCCTCTCCCTCTCCTCCCACCGGGCCTCCCTCTCCCCCTCCTCCCGCCAAGCACCGACAGTCTCGAGGGGCCAGCCGCTGGAAGGGGCAAGCCAGCGGCACGAGGGCTTCAACCACACAGCTACCAAGGGAACGCGACCCACACAAAGCACCAAAGTTAGGCATACCCCCCGGCGCAGTGTCCCCCGCTATGTGTCGCCGTTTGTCGGGGCACGCTATCCTGTGCAGTCAGGGCAAGTGGGGGCGGGGCGGAGTGCCCAGGCCTTTGTTTCCTGGGACCTCTCTTCCCAGTCCGGGGGTGCGTCGAACCTTCCATCACCCTGTCGGAAGCGGCGTGCCGGTGTGGAGGCACGTCCGGGTTTTGGAAGTAAAGATATATTACTTTTCGTCAAAGCCAGCTTCATCGTGGCCCGTCGCCACCCTCGCCGCCGTCTCGCCGCCGTCTCGCCTACGACGTCGCCGCCGTCGCTATCAGGCCCATTCATGATGCAGGCCCAGCCCACACCCCTGGCTCCTATGCCGACGTGTCCCGCGTGCTCCCCCGTCCGCCGATGTCTCTGCTGCCGCCCCTGCAGCGGGGGCCCTTCTCGCCGCCTTCGCTGCCGCTGCTCGCTGTCGGCTCGTCATTTTTCTGTCTACGGTCATATGGGGGCGCCATCGCTGTTCTCTTTCTCTCTCCTGGGGTTAGCTCCAAGCTGCCGTGTCGGGACGCCGCCCCCTCGGCTCCCCCCCCCCCCCCCCTTCTCCGCTGAACTGCATGCTGCGATTCTCCCCCCTTGTCCCAGGAGCCAGGTGCGTGTGTCTAATCGTAGTGGGGGCCCTGGCCCCCCTCTGTTTTCTGTTTTCTGTTTTTCAAAACGCCCGCCCGCCCGCCACCCCGAGGCGGCTCGGCCCCCCACTGACCCAGAGATCAAAAACGCTCGGCCCAGCCAGCCCAGCCACCCCGCCCCGTCACCTCTTGAAAGAGCGCCATCAAGGTCTCGTCGTCCACCTCTCCCGGCCCGCCTCCTCAGCCTGCTTCATCACCAACCTGATTTTATCGGCGCCGCCGCGCTGATTCGCGCGTCCTCGGACATGACTCCTGCTACCCTGAGCCGCGGTGGTACGTGCGTTCCCTCGGGGAGAGTATCAGTAGTAAGCGCCGTCGTCTTTTTCGTGGGACCCCGCCGAGAGGCGAGAGGCTCTATTACACCCTTTTACGCACACACACGATGTGTGAGAGGGCACACATGCACAATCATGTTCATGTTCATGTTCATGTTCATGTTCATGTTCATGTCATGTTGTGCATGTGCATGTCATGCGCATGTGCATGCGCATGTGCATGTGCATGTGCATGTTGCATGGTGCATGTCCACACAACAACATGAGCATGTGCAACATGCACATGTGCATGCACATGTGCGTGTGCACATAGGGACGGTGTATCAGTCGCCTTATGCCACCGTTGCATATCCGCGACTGATACACCGTCGCATAGGCGCACAGACCTGCGCACAGACCTGCGCACAGACCTGCGCGGCCGGTGACGTGACAATGATCAAACATCAATGTGATACACACACACATCCTACTCTTTACTCACAAAGCCTACTCTGTGCGAGTGTGTCCACTGACACACACAGCTCTCGGGTCGCTGGGTCACTGCCCCCCCCCCCCCCCCGCCCGCAAAAAAGAGGCGAATTCTTTTAGGGGCTCGTGGTGCCATGGTGAGCAGGGCCAGCGCACGACCCGCGCGCGCCGCCAGTCATCGCCCGCACGCCGAGGGCCGGGGAGAGCGCACCAGACGATTGGGATCGGGTTGCTCGTAGCTATGTTGCGACGTTTGGAGTTTTTTACCTCGCCCACGCGCAGGGGCTGCTCAGAAAATGGTGCACCGCCCGTGCTGCGCACACCCAGTCATCGCCCGCACGCCGGGACACGCGCTCTTCCCTCAGACACCCACTCACCCACTCACCATCTCGCGGCATGCACGGTGACAAGGAGAAACCAGAGCTCACCCGGCAGTACAACGAGGGGTACAAGGTCGACCTCGCGGAACCCCACGCTGGCCCGGGAGGATGCGATGAGGTGAATGAAGTCAAGCTCTGGACACCCCTCCTCAAGACCTCCTCGGCGGGCGTTGGCAACGCCTCGAGTGGCGTCACGCCCGCCTCCGTTGGCCACTCCGCGTTCGGCAACACCGAAGAGAAGGCCCGCCGCCTAAACATGGGCTGCAAGGCGCGCGGGCAGCCCGGCCAACCCTTCGACCACAAGAACGGCCACGGCTACGTCAAGGCGCATCGCGGTTTCTACCACGACGCGATCTTTGTCAAGCGCAACAAACTTCAACCTGCTGCTCCACGAGACGTTCGGCGGCGGCTTCTCCCCCACCGCCGTTCTCAAGCTGCGCCGCCTCGCGCGCAAAGCCGCGCGCGGCAGCGTCGACCGCACGGCCTACTCGCCCAAGTACTCGCTCTCTTTTATGTCCCACCATGCAGAGCGCATCTCTCTCTCTGTTGTGCGAGGCGTGAACCGCGCCATTCGCTCTCACCTGGCAACCCTGTCTGCACGTCTCGCGCGCGCGTGAACAGGGCTCCAGGCCCCAAATGACGTGTGAGTGTTAGAGTTGTTTGGTATTGCTAAAAAATCTCTCTCTCATGTGCATGTGCAGAGAGAGATTTTTATTAACATGTGCATGTGCATGTGCATGTGCATGTGCATGTGCATGTGCATGTGCATGTGCATGGTGCATGTCCACACAACAACATGGGCATGTACATGTGCGTGTGCACATAGGGACGGTGTATCAGTCGCCTTATGCCACCGTTGCATATCCGCGACTGATACACCGTCGCATAGGCGCACAGAGCTGCGCACAGACCTGCGCACAGACCTGCGCGGCCGGTGACGTGACAATGATCAAACATCAATGTGGTACACACACACACAATCCTACTCTTTACTCACAAAGCCTACTCTGTGCGAGTGTGTCCACTGACACACACAGCTCTCGGGTCACTGGGTCACTGCCCCCCCCCCCCCCCCCCGCCCGCGAAAAAGAGGCGAATTCTTTTAGGGGCTCGTGGTGCCATGGTGAGACCGTGCAGCGGGAGGCAAGTCTGCGCTACTTTCACATTCAGGGCTCGTCCCTTCCCCGATCGCAGCGACTTGCTGTCTTTTCCCATCTTAATTCGCGTTCGTTCCTTTGGCTTTGCCGTCGCGTCAGCTCTCCCCCCGTCTCAAACTCGTCGTATCGGAGCAAGAAGCGCGTTAGGGGGTCGTCCTCCTGTAGCTCCCCTACTCTGATCGCGCTCGCCCCGTGTCCGTATCCCACAAACAGCTCGTAGCTTTCGTCCTGCCAGTTTATGTGTCTCTGGGGCGCCCCCTCTGGGAACAACGTCTCATCCGCCCCGAGGCTCCCCTCCTGTCGCTCCCTCTCCTGTCTCTCCATCATATTTTCCATCGCGTCCGCCGTGATCTTATTTTGCTCGGGTATCTCCTCCTCCCATGTCGCGTTCGTATCGAGGCCCGGGGTCCCCTCCAGCTTTATCACTCGATTGTCCCCGTCCTCTCTCGACCCCAGGTGCGTGCCGCTGTCTTGCGCCGGTTTCTTCCCTCCGAGGTAGAGCGTCCTGGCCTTAAAGAAAGAAAGAAAGAAAACATACAACCCAAGGGAGGGATGGGAGGACGGCGGGCACGCCGCCACCACACAGGGATTTTAAGGAGAGGAGTGTGATGCGCTAGCCGTCGCCCACCCTTGGGCGTCCGCCTCTTCCTATCTCTCTTCGCAGTCTCTCGCCGCTTCTCGCTGCAACCTTCATGCCACCTCGCGGCCGTCCCACTCTCGCCGTTCTCTCCCTTGTCACTTCCTCCTCTGTCGCGTCGTTCTCTTCTGCCTCGTCCTGCGGCGCCGCCGCGCGCCGGTCCCTTCTTCTCGCGGCTTCTTTCGCCTTTCGTCCTGGCCTTCCCCTCCACTCGCGACCCAAAAGACCTCGCGGGGCGAGAGTACATCTTCGCATGTCGAGGGTCGCGCCGCCGATGCCTGCCTCGTACCGCGACGGTCCGCGTATGTGTGCATGCCTCCTGACCGCCACGGTCACGGCCGCTGCGCTCCGGACAGGTTCGTTCGACGCGCTCGACCGTGATCTGGCTCGGCGGCCGCCGCTTTCTTTGGCGTCGAGCGCCCGGTGGTGAGCGCCTCTCACGGCCTTTCCAGCAGGCCGTTCGCTGCCCCGGCGCAGCCGCACCGACCCCCACGGCCCGCCGCACGCGCGCGGGCGCGGCTCGCGCACCTTTATCGAGGCTGGCACCGCCGTCGAGCACCGCGCTGCCACCGACAGCGCACCCGCGCGGCCGAGGCGCCCCTCGCCGGCGCGTGCGGCGAGACGGCGAGCGTGTCGGCGCGCCTTCCGGCCGCCGCACGGCGGACGGGCCGCCCGTCGAGCCGCGCGGCACCGAGCGAGCCCAGCGGACGCCCTCACCGCTCCGTCGGCGGGTCGTCAGTCTCTCTCCTCTCCTCCGCACGCCGCCGCCCGGCCGGCCGCGCGCGGCGAGGCGGCGCCGTGCGCCACGCGCTGTCGCTTCGCGCGGCGACAGTGCAGCGGCACATCAAGAGCCAGCATGACTCTCCATTGAACTTCTATGTGTCCCTGTCTCCGTCTGGTAGCCTCGTGACACAGCCTCAGCTGCTCTGCAGCGCACACACGTGGAGGGTGAACACGCTGGCAAGGACCGATGGCGAGCGCAAAAAGTCATCACAAGACACGCTACTCACTCGCTCGTGCACACACGACACGTGTGCTCTGGGAAGAGCGCGCAGATCGCGGGGTCGTGGCACGAGAGCACGCAGGTGCACCGCTTTGCGTGCGCTGCCACTCGCTGCTCGCGCAGCGCCGCGTCGCGATCAGCCGAGTCTGCGGCCTCAACCCGTGCAGCCCGCGCGGCGCGTGTGGCCCCAGAGAGGCCCCCACCCTTCTGTGCAGGCCACTCGCATCGACGTTCGGGTCCCGCCGGCTGAGCCGTGAAGGGGCAGCACAGGCACAATTAGGCACGAGGAGACCAGAGATAGCGCGATAGGGAGAGGGAGAGTAGGCATAGATGCCGCGAGCGGCCTGGGCTTTGGCGCCCGCCGCTGCGGACGATCACAGGTAGGACGGCGACCGCCTCCACTGTGAACCACTTTTGATGCCTAATCTCAAAGTATAGCCAGGGGGGATACCCGTAGCCCCCAAAGTGAACTGCCTGATCGACTCCCCGGCACACGGCGGAGGAGGAGGAAGACAGCACAACCCAGGGCGGGAAGAGCACACTGCTCAGGGTGGGACAAAACACCGACAGACGAGAGAAGAGGCCACAAAACAGACAAGCAGAATGGCAAGAGAGAGACGCTCTGCAGGCGAGCCCACGGGCCTCTTGGGCCCTCGCGTCTCTCTCTCTCGATTCGTTACACCGATTCGACCATCAATGCGGCGGGCCGATTTCGACCCATCACAAATGTGGGAAGCCATTAACCTCCCTTGGCTTCCCACACAAACCCCCCTTCATGGGGGGAGCAGCAAATGAGGTAGTCTCTGCGAAATCACTGTCCCAGTGAATTCGCCCTAGAGGCTTCCGTGTGGACTCGCAGCTCCGGCTGGATGTCGGCGACCTAAAGCTCGGCGGTCGTCGCTTCGCGCCGGCCGACTCCCTGGAGTGCATTCCCGTCGCGGAGCCTTTGATGTGCGCCGATGGGACTGTACACACCGCGATGCAGTGTCACCTTGTGACGGTGCCCTGGCAAAATCGTCCCGATTTCGATGCGCGATTTAGCTAAGTCCCAGAGCCGTTTACGCATGAGCGGGCCCCCTCACCAGCCTAGGGCTCGCGTTTCTGGCCCGAGGTGTCGCCGCTGCCTCCCGCGCCCTCCGGCGCCTGCTGCTACTGCCGGTCGGCCGGTCGGGTCCGCGCGACGGCTCCATCCTCGAGACGTAGCGGTCGCTGAGCGCTTTCTCGACCGCTACGTCTTCCAGTGCACCCACCCACCGCGACCCTCGAACCTGCGCTGCGCGGCGCAGTTGCTGCCGAGCGAGACGCCCCCGCCCGCGCAGGGGCGGCATCACCAGACGCTACCGCATGGCCGAGCAGCGAGCAGTGTGTGCCGCAGTGCCCGTCCGGGCCCTCTTGCAGCTGCCTCTATTGGGCGTAAACCGCGGATATAAGGGTCTATACGGAGGTGGGTGGCCTCTTAGAGGTATGGGAGCCGCTGGCACCGCGCTGGGCGCCGCGGATGCACGTACGAACGAACATTATGAAATCGGGACGATTTTGACCCAAAAATCACAAGGTGTAGAGTATGCGAGCGGAACTCGCGGTGTCTCTCGTGTCTGCGGTGACTCGGGGTGTCTGGGTCGTCTCACAAGCGCGACGCGAGAAGGACGGGAAAAGCGTGAAAGACGATCCACGCCGCTCTCGCGCCACGCCACCCGACGTGTTCAGCGACACTGGCGAAGGTCTGTAGACCCAGCTCGTGAGATGCGTGCTGGGCAACACCAATGTACGCTCGAGACAATACGACGCACAAAGACGGATCCGAAGAGAGCGCACGCTCGGAGCACCATCCGCGCGTGGCGCACGGCGCCGCCTCGCCGCGCGCGGCCGGCCGGGCGGCGGCGTGCGGAGGAGAGGAGAGAGACTGACGACCCGCCGACGGAGCGGTGAGGGCGTCCGCTGGGCTCGCTCGGCGCCGCGCGGCTCGACGGGCGGCCCGTCCGCCGTGCGGCGGCCGGAAGGCGCGCCGACACGCTCGCCGTCTCGCCGCACGCGCCGGCGAGGGGCGCCTCGGCCGCGCGGGTGCGCTGTCGGTGGCAGCGCGGTGCTCGACGGCGGTGCCAGCCTCGAGAAAGGAGCGGCGAGCCGCGCCTGCGCGCGTGCGGCGGGCCGTGGGGGTCGGTGCGGCTGCGCCGGGCTCTCGTGGGTGGCTGGGAAGCGCAGCAGGCGTGTGTAGTTGGTCCCGCTCTCGGGGCGGCTGGCGGGCGACTTTGAGCGAGCCGATGCTCCGCGACGCGGTTTCGCGACGCGATGCGCTCAGAGCATATGCTGCGGGACCTCTGTGGCTGGACGCGTACCGGAGGGGCGAAGGCCAGCGACGCGGGGCGGCGAAATGGGGGCGTACCCCCCATCTGCCACGGCGGGCCGGGGGTATGCAGTTTCGCTCGCCCCCCGAGGTCTCTTGGGTCGGAAACCGAGTGAATTCTCAAAATCAGAACGAAAAGCGGCGCGCGGTTTGGCCGAGGGGTTAGCGAAAGGCCGCGGCCCCTGAGGTTCCGCTCCCCACTTAGTACAGCTCACATGCCGCCCACGCCCACGCTGCCGAAGCCGAGGCATGCGTACCTGGCGCAAAAGCGCAAGGAGCACCAGCAAGCGGGCAAAGACGCTTCATCCAGCACCTACGACTACAATGTCATCGGTTCTGGCCCGGCGAGCGCGGGCTTTATCAACAAGCTCCTCAGCCTCAAGCGAGAGGCGCGCATGAACCTCCGCCGCCGTCGCCACCGCCATGTGTCGCCTGGCGGCCGTGCAGCAATCCCCTCCCGCCCCGCCTTGCAGGTCTCGGTGCTCTGGTTCGAGGAGGGAGAGCGAATCGGCAAGTATGGGCAAGGAATCGTCGGCTGGCCTGATGAGCTTCAGCCGCAAATAAGCAAGGGCAACATCCCTGACCACCGCTTCACCACTCGTAACTGGCTGCGCGCGCGCTCATGGAAGGGATTTGGAGGTGGCGACGCGATGAACTCTGGCGGTCCCAACTACCTCGGGCTCCAGCAGGATGACACCGTTCTGGAGCCCAATGTATGGGAGCTTCGCAACCAAAACATTATCGAGGGGAAGAGCTCGTTCGGGACCACCCCGCTCGGGGACCGCTTCATCGGCGCGTTCCAGGGCGCCGAGGGGTTCGTTGGCTACGAGATGCAGACGCCCCTCCCCACAGACGCGCCGGCCATCTCCATGGCCGGGAGCGGCTTCGTCGGCTACCCCAGCAGCATCTACCCGAGCAGCCAGCGGCGCAATTTCCTGGCGGATAGGCTCGCGCAGGAGTTCTCGGCCGGGCCGGGCCGCCGCTCCCTCCATCTTCGCACCAAGGTTGTGCGACTGCTGGTAGAGGAGGCGCCTGATGGAGGCAAGCGAGTGTCCGGCGTCGCCGTGCTGCCGCCGGGCGGGGGTGGCGAGGTGGTCTACCGCGCTCACTCCACCATCCTCTCCGCGGGCATCTTTGGCACCTTCTCCCTCCTCGTCGACTCTGGCATCGGGCCGCCCGAGGCGCTGGACACGCGCGGCATCTCTCCGAGCCGCCGCGTCATCGAGAACCCACACATCGGCAAGGAGGTGGGCGACGAGGTGATCGTGACGTGCCTCTTTGTGGCCGCCGAGGACCAGGGCGGGCCGCCGCCGCAGGGTCGCGTGGCACCCCTCGTCGGGGCTCGAGCCGGCGACCAGTTTTTGCGGCGGACGGCGCTCGTGGTCTGGGCCCGCGGGCTGCCCACCATCTTTGCGCTCATCACGCGCATGTGGCTCGTCTTCCGGCTCTTGCTCACGCCCTTTGCTCGGAACTGGTCCTACATCTCCGTCTCGCTCGACTCGCTAGACCCCGTCACCCGCAAGCCAACCATGGCGCTCAGGGCGACGAAGCATTCTGTCGAGGTTGACGACTCGCGGCTCGACTTCACCCCGGAGATGATGGGGTGGTACGAGAGCCAACTGCCGGCACTCAAAGAGTTCTTCCGCCTCAACAACGAGGCGCCGCAGAGCTGCTGGCGCCGGTGGCACCGCTTTTGGCTGAGGTTCCTGACTCCGCTCATTCACTCGTCCATTGGCCGCTGCGTTGGGATGCCGCCGGGCGTCACCGAGTGGAACCTCCACATCAAGCCTACAAAGAAGGAGCTGGGCACCTACAACCACTTTTACGGCGGCTGCCAGCCCGTTACCGTGCTGAACGACAAGTTTGAGCTCTACCTGCATCCGCCCGCGCTTGGCAAGACCGCGGAGGAGAACCGCTGCCGGCCCGCACTGGCAGGACTGCACATTGCCGACGCATCCGTGATCCCACAGCTCACGCCCGGAGCCCCCTCGGCGACGGTGATGGAGTGGGGCATGCGCGTCGCAGACAGGCTGTGTTTCGTGGAGGGGGTTTAGCACTTCCCACATTTGTGGGAACTCAGACACCTCAACCGCTGAGAGAGCTCGCAGACGAGCGAAAATTCCTAGGCGCTCGCAGACGAGCGCATCGACAAAACACGTTAGAGTTTTGTTCGTTAGAGTCGTTTGGTATTGCTAAAAATCTCTCTCTCTCTCTCTCAGATAAGTACAATCAGGCAGAGGACTGGGTGAGAATAGTTGGACCGCAGAGCGCGCAGTCAGCCGGCTCGCTCCAGGTTGACGCCTCGCAGGTCTTGCACCACATGCCGCTTCGTCTCGTCGCGCAGCCACGCAACCTCGGCGTGGCGCACAAAGCCGCGCCGCAGCAGCCGCGTTGCGATCGAGACGCCCACCACCAGTCCAAAGACGCACAGGGCGGCGGCGGCGAGGAGCACCAGAGGCCCGGCAAAGACGAAGCACTGGCAGTTCCGAGGCCACTGCACCTCAAAGTCGTCGGGGATCAGGCCGAGCGCCCAAGCGAGGATCGACGCCACTCCAAGCAGCGCACACAAAAGCAGCGCACCGGCGCCGAGCCACACGGACCACGGGCAAGCAGGGTTGTGCAGCGACAGCGACCCGCCGGTCGCCGCCGCGCTGTCGCCGTCTGGCGCATCGAGCCCGGCGCCCGGCAAAAGCAGCCTGGTCAGCTGCCGGGCAGTGGTGCTGTCGATGCCCAGGCCGGCGAGGCTGTCGGTGCCTCCTCGCTCCTCAACCTCGCGCGACAGCCACGCAGCGATCACGGAGCACAGCACAACTAGGCACGAGGCGATCGACGCGAGGAGAGCAATGTCTCGCGCTATCGTCAAGCGGTAGGCCAGCAGCTCAATCGGCTTGGCTTTGCGAGTGACCACCCGGTATCGAAACCTGCACGTCCCGCAGTGCGTAAAGGCGTTGCCGCGCCTTGTCGATCTCCAGGTGTCGAGGCACCGGCGGTGCACGAGGCGCGCAGAGCCAGAGCAGAGGCACGGCTGGATCATGCCGGTGCCGGCCTCGGTGTCCGGACACGAGCTGGGAAGCTCCTCGAAGCAGACACGACAGACGAGACCGCTCATACCTCAGCGGCGTGTTGCGGGAGGGAGGAAGGGGCAGCAGAGTTGAGGTGGCGAGAATTCTTTTTGTGTCGCCGTGTCCTGTTGCCTTGTCCGCTCGTGGCCTCGCAGAGCGCACGCAGGCTGGCGCATTTCCATTTGGACAAGTTGACATCGTCATCACGCAGCCAACGAAGATGCAAGAACCCCAAGTGCACCGATCCCAATCATCTGGCGGCCCGGTGGCCCGCTGGCTGGCTGGGCTGGGTGGGTGGGTGCGCTTCTTAGCTCCCCGGCCCTGGATGTGCGGCTACTGACTGCACTCCAAGTGCACCCGGTGACGCAGGGGCAGCTATTTCGGCCCAGGGCGCCTCTAAGCCTCTTCCACCTTCCGGGACGGTCTCACGGTCTCCGTTTGGGAGAGAGAGAGATGTGTGTCCGTTTGGGTAAAACACAAAGGAGAAATCGTCCGCGCGGGGAGTTGGGCTGTGACCCCTTGGCCTGTATCGCCCACCCTTGGGCGTCTGCCTCTTCCTATCTCGCTTCGCAGTCCCTTCCTCGTGCGGGCGCGCGCAGCGGGCCGGAGAGCCGAGAGTGTTGCAGACATGGTTGCGGAGCATTTGGAGTGCAGTTGGCGCAGCCACACACACACATCCTACTCTTTACTCACAAAGCCTACTCTGTGCGAGTGTGTCCACTGACACACACAGCTCTCGGGTCGCTGGGTCACTGCCCCCCCCCCCCCCGCCCGCAGGCGAAGGAGTGATGTCGCTTCCCCGTCTGTTGTGCCTCGCCGCCCGTCGCCGTGGGACGGCCCCCCTTCGCCCAGCGCCCCCTTCCCTCTCCTGCCTGCCGTCGACGACGACGACAGCGTCATGCGGTGTCCTGCTTGCGCGCCCAGAGAGTCGGGCACTCAGAGAAGGGGGGGGTCGTTGGTGAATCCACCCGTCGTTTTTACTTTGTTGTTGTATCGCGTTCGCGCATCGCGGTCCGTCGTGCGGCGGCGCGGTGGCGGGGCACGTCCGGGCCGACATCCCCTCAGCCGCCAGCCCCTCTCTCAGTCTCACACGCTACACGCACGACGCAGGACTCACACCTCACAGACGCGCACCGTCCGGGTCCGCGGTGCGCGGGGCCGAGCGTTTTTGATCTCTGGGTCAGTGGGCGCCCGCCCGCCGCCTCTGAGGGGGTCGGGCCCCCTAGACTGAAAACAAAAACAAAATGTAGAACCGACAAAAACAGCCTGCGAGAGCGGCGCTGCGCGCCGCCTACTTCGTGCGGCGGGTCGTGAGTGACCCCCACGACCACGGCATCCAAAAAAATGGAAAAGTAGACAATAGTCGGATGGGCACGAACCCGCGCAGCGCCGGCTTTGAGCCACGCGCCTCGATCTTCAGAGGCGCGTGCGCTGCCCCTTCCGGCAACGACGACGACATCGAGGGGATGTCTATTGTTGCGCGATGGCGTCATCCATTTCGTCAAGCCAGCTTCATCGTCGCCACCCTCGCCGCCGTCTCGCCTACGTCGCCGCCGTCGCTATCAGGCCCATTCATGATGCAGGCCCAGCCCACACCCCTGGCTCCTATGCCGACGTGTCCCGCGTGCTCCCCCGTCCGCCGATGTCTCTGCTGCCGCCCAGCGGAGCTCTGCAGCGGGCCCTCCTCGCCGCTTTCGCTGCCGCTGCATCGCTGTCGGCTCGTCATTTCTGTCTACAGTCATTGGGGGCTGCCATCGCTGTTCTCTCTCTCTCCCTGGGTCAGCTCCAACCTGCCGTGTCGGGACGTCACCCCCTCGGCTCCTCCCCCCCCCCTTCTCCGCTGTAACTGCTTGCTGCTGCTGCTCGCTTTGTCCCAGGAGCCAGGTGCTTGTGTCTAATCGTAGTGGGGGCCCTGGCCCCCCTCTGTTTTCTGTTTTCTGTTTTTCAAAACGCCCGCCCGCCCGCCACCCCGAGGTGGCTCGGCCCCCCACTGACCCAGAGATAAAAAAACGTCGGCCCGGACCGCGCCCCCCGGTCTCATAACGAAGTCATATTTCATCTCTCGACGTCTCGAGATCTCCCCCGCGGCCGCGCCGCTCATCAATAACAATATGTGGTTTGTCTTTGTCACGGCCGGTGTCACGGGACATGGCGGCTCATCCTCATGCATCTGCCATCTCCCGCCGCTCCCCCGCGCCCCGGTCTCGCTCTCCGCACCGCGGCGCGCGCGGCGCGACACCTATCCCGCTCTAGACACCCCGCTCTGGCGCACCGCGCCCCACGCCCACACGCACACCGCAGGGCCGCCAGTAGCCACAGCGCAGCTGCGCGGCACGACCACAGAGCAGAGGAGCAGGCGGCATGGCGGCTGAGGCTCGCTTGCTTGTTGCGGCTGAGGCGGCTTGCCCCTCTTGCGCTCTGCTCCCTTGCCGCGCCGCAGGGCTGGGCCTACTCCGCCGCGGCGTCGGGGAAGACGGAGGCGGGCGGCGGGGCGGACGCCGCCGCCTCGCGTGCCATGGTGTCCTCGCGCGCCTGGGTCTCGGGTCACCTCGGGTCATCTCGGACAATCTCAGGTCGCCTCGGCTCCTCTCTCGCGCGCCTTGAGCAGGTCGCGCGCGGGCTCGAGCAGTGTGTTGCCTGCCGCGAGGGGCCGAGATCAGGCCGAGATCAGGCCGAGATCACCAAAACAGAGACAGCAGCCGAGGTGCGGACGAGGTGCGGCGGCGTGAGTGCGAGAGGGGGGGAGAAGGGAGGGGGGGGGCATGCTGCCGGTCGGCTGTGGCGTGGCGAGCGACGGCGTCTCCCCGGCGAGGAAGCCTACGGCACGAACATGTCCCTCCGGCTCCTCTCGGCTCGTCTCGGCCGATTTCACTACGAATGAACGACTAACTAGAGGCGGGCCGAGGATGGCGGGCTTGAGCTGCTGATTAACTACGAATTCACTACGAATGAACCACTAACTAGAGGCGGGCCGAGGATGGCGGGCTTGAGCTGCTGATTAACTACGAATTCACTACGAATGAACCACTAACTAGAGGCGGGCCGAGGATGGCGGGCTTGAGCTGCTGGAAGAGCGGCGTGTTGATGAAGATCTGCTCACATCAGTGCGCCGTGAAGAGGGATTGAGTGTGCCGCTCTCCGGGTCCTCTCGGACGAGCTCGGCCCTCCGCCTCGATGGCAATGAGCGTGCCGATCCCAGCCCACGCCAGCCGAAACACAACCTTCTCCACCGGCGACTGCTCCTCCTCCTCCGGCAGCGAGTAGGCGGCCTTGCCGGCGTTGATCGGCGGCAGCTTGGACGCGGGAGGCGCCGCCGGAGGGGCCTGCGGGGGAGAGGCCGCGAGGTGGAGGGGGAGGGAGGGGAAGAGGAGAAGGGCGACGGACGGTCGAGGCGCTCTCGTGTGATCTCGTGTGATCTCGTGCGACCTCGAGCGATCTCGAGCGATCTCGGGTCCTCTCGCGTCCTCTGGCTCGCCTCGGGAGAAGGCGCGAGTCCAACCAGGCCACGGAGCCGCCGCACGACCTGTGGAGGCACGCTTCCGGAGGGTGAGTCACCTCCCGGGCCGGCCAATGTGTCTCGCCCGTGTCACTGTGTCTTGTCGTGGCCGTCCCTCTCCGTCTCGCGGGCGGCCTCTTCACAGCTTTCCGGCTCGAGGCCTGGCTGTTTGTCGCCTCTCTATCGATCCACGACGCGCTGAGCGTGCGTGCATGTGTGTGTGTGTGTGTGTGTGTGTGTGCGTGCGTGTGTGTGTGTGTCTGTGTGTGTGTGCGTGCGTGCGTGCGTGCGTGCGGGCGTGCGGGCGTGCGTGCGTGCATGTGTGTGCGTGTGCGTGTGCGCGCGCACCTCAGCGCGCGAATTTTCTTGGTCGCCCCCCGCGCCGGCAGTGGCGGACGGCGGCCTCACCGCCGGCCCTCTCAGCGCCGCCAGCTCGTCAAAGGACGGCAGCGCCACCAGCGGCTCATCGTCCACGCCAAACTCCGGCCGGCTCGGCTGGCGGGCCGGCGTGGCGGAAGAAGGTCGCGGCGCGACCGCCTCGGACGGGTCGACAAACTCCGCCATGACGAGGGGCACAGCCGGCATCCCAGACTCTGTCGTCGGCACTGGGACTGGTGACGCCGCCGCTGAAGGCGGTGTGGGTGGCGGCGGCGGCGGCAGTGGCGGCGGCGGTGAGAGAGGCGGCAGCGGCGACAGCGGCGACAGAGGCGGCAGCGGCGATAGAGGTGGCAGCGGCGTCAGAGGCGGCAGCGGCGTCAGAGGCGGCAGCGGCGTCAGAGGCGGTGGCGTCGGTGGCGCCGCCGCTGGTGGCCGAGCCGAGGACGGTTTCTTCTTGGCCTTGCGCTTTTTGGCGAGGAGCAGCGGCTGAGGCCTGGCGAGTGCGCCGGCGTAGCGAATGGGAGGGCGCGCGGGGAATTCGAAGGCTGCGGCAGGTAACGCCGAGAGCGCGAGGAGCAACGCGAGCTTCATGCCTTTTGGTTTGTTCACATAAACGCACAACTCCGGACCCAAGACGCACAAGCACAGACAGTCGAGATTTGTTCACAGCCTTGTTATTGAGAAGAAAATACCTCCCCTATGGCGCTTCACATGCCAGCGCAAAAGATTTTTGCTGAGTCTTCTAGGCCCCAAAAAGAATTTCCAACCCGCAGCCAGAAGGAATTTTTTTTCACAAACTTGGCGTAACACGGGCGCCGCACGCAGCGTTTGCGCGCAAGTCGGCAATGTGCTTACGTCCCAGAGTGCCATCTCTCACAACTCATCGTCAGCGAGTGAGCGGCGGAGAAAGCAACGCGGGCGGAGCAGCATCGAGCATCAAAAATGGCCGCTCCACGCTCGGCCCGCTCTCTCTCTGCCTTGCGGCCCGCTCTCTCTCCCACGATCCGGGCCCAGCAAGGAGGCTCTGAGTGCACGACCGACTGGGAATGCTCCCTGGGCGGCAGGTGCGTCAGCAGCGATGCTGCGCAGCATATGACACGGAGCAACCCCGCATCCGACGCCAGGCCGCGAGGCAGATGCGCATGCGACGCGTGGTTCACCGGTGGGGACTGCAGCCTCCTCAACCTCGAGCCAGCAGCTTCGCCTGAAAGCGCCGGGCTCCAGGTACCCGGCTACCACTCGTGGGGCGGGCGGTGCACCTACGATGGCGCGACGGGCAAGTATGTCGGCGCCTTTAGCATGATGGTCGGCGGTTGCTCTCTCAACCAGTGGCAGTGGGGGAGCGCGATTGTGGTTGCAGAGGCGGATGCACCCGAGGGTCCGTACTCCCTCATCGGTGAGCCGCCCTCCTCGCTCGCGCCCGAGGGCGCGGCGCTGCCGCCGTGGGCGCACAACGCCTTCCTCAGCTTCGACCCCGCCTCGGGGCGCCACTTGCTCTTCCACATCGGTGCGGAACACCGCCTCCCGGCAAATAAGTTTTGCAACCGCTCCGACCCACGCCGCTTCCGGCCGTCGGCGTGGGTGCCAGCGAACGCACGGCGGCAACTTGTGCAGCCGCGGCAACGCGGCGGCACCCTCGACTACCTCTCGGACCCAATCTTTGTCTCCTCAGCGCCGAGCCCAAGGGGCCCGTGGGAGGTGCCGGGCAGGCGGGTCGAGCTGAGCGGCCCCGCCGACTCGTGGGTGCGCCGCGTGTCCAACCCGGGTCCCTTCATCTTCCCGAACGGCACCGTCCTGCTCTACACCTCGGCGGACCCCTGCCCGCCCGGCTGGGGCCGCGCGCCGACGTGCATCGCCCTCTTCCGCGCGCCCTCGTGGGAGGGGCCGTACACACTGCTGAGCACCAGCGCGCCGCTTGTCCGGCCCGAGAGCGAGGACCCGTTCGTCTTTCGCGACCCGCGCGGAAGCTTTCACATGCTCACGAATGTCAACACGTTCCACCGCCGCTGCGATGCGGGCGCCGCGTGCGGCGGGCACGCGTGGAGCCTCGACGGCCTCACCTGGAGCGGGCAGGCGATTGGCGCCTTTGGCCCCACCGTGGAGCTCGCAAACGGCTCCTCCTTCACGAACGCGTACGCGGAGAGGCCGCTCGTCTACCAAGACGCTCTCGGCGCCCCCGTCGCGCTCTTTGTCGGGATGGGCCGCTCCGTCTACGCAGACTCGATCAGCTGGGCCTGGCGTTTCGCCGGGTCCCGGCCTCTCGCGCAGGGTGCGAGCCCAGCTCGAGCGTTGGCTCACAAACAAAACGAACGAAAAGGAAGGCAAGACGCACACAAATGGACGAAATGAGTGCGTGAGTGTTCGACTTGCTTTGGTATTACTAAAATATCTCTCCCAAAACAAACAACCCGGGGACCACAAGAGGCAGTGAGGTGAGGTGTATTGTATTTGGTGTCGTGTTGCGTGTGAGGAGCAGGACTGAGGAGCGCAACACCGGCGCACCACACAAGGCCGCCCGCAAAAGCGGGAGGCGTGGGGATCGACGGATAACCAGGGCGCAGGGGTGAGGGGACTGAAGATCCCGTTCCCTCTCTCACACCAACACATGTCCCTAAATCCCTCTCGTCTCAGAGTTCGCGAAACCGGTGCTATATCGTATCCGATTCATGCTACAGTAGGATGGCTACGTGTGATGGTTACAAATATTACGGGTCTGCACGCCGCCCGGCCGCGGCACCAGGTGCGGCGAGCGCCGAAGAGTCGCACCAGGCGTACGATATGAGCCAGCGTTCAAGCTGCGAAGCTCCGAGCCGCTGCCGCCCTGCGCCACTGCCACCTCGGCCGCTGCGGTCGCCACGCTGCGGTCTGCGATCGCACAGCCCTCGGGCAGCGGGTACGGCCGTTCGACAGGCAGCAGGCTTGAGGTGTCCTCGCCCGCCTCGAGAGCCGCGCCGACCGCGGCAAACGCGCTCGTCACGTCGGTGATTGCAGCGACGATGCCGTCGGCCACGGCGAGAAGGCGCGTCGCCTCGCCGCGCAAGCCCATCTGAAGCGAGCGTTGCGCCGGCAGCGGGTGCGTGAACGCGTGTCGGCCGGAGTCACCGCCGAGAGCACGCTCGGCGTCCCACTGCACGACGATGGCAGCTGAGGCACCGGAGTCGTCGCGGTCGCTGCGCTCGCCTTGCTGCGCACTCGCCAGCACGGCGTCGAGCAGCAGCTTGTCGAAGCTGGCACGGTGCAGATCGATCGCGAGCACGCGTGACTGGTTGGCGTCCTTGCGAGTCCAGCCACAGCGGTAGCCCATCCACACGAAAGACGGTTTGATCCATGTCATGCGACCCTCCTTCCACGGCGGCACGAACCTCTGGGCCTCGACAGCAGCCGATGCAATCGATGCGTTGTAGGCCTGGTAAACGCGGACGGTGTGCTCATCGTGCACGGCACGGATCTCACGCGTGCCGCCCACCACGTGCGCCTCGGCGAGGGCGACCTGCGACTCCAGCTCGAAGGCTTCCTTCACTTCCACCCCGTCCCCAGCCATCACGGAGGTCACTTTCTTTTTCCCTGTGTAGTGCCAGCAAGTGTGACAACGGCGCGCGAACACCAAAAAAGAATTTTCCGCGCCCGAACAGGTGTGGGTACTTCTTGCTTGAGCGGCACTCATGACAAGAGTTTTGGTATTGCTCGCGCACATCTCCCTCTCTTAACCCACCTGTAACATCACATAAAGGTATTGCTAAAAATCTCTCTCTCATGACGGGGTAGGTAGGGTAGGTCTGGGCCCTCCCGTCGGGGTTTTCCCTCTCTTCTGGAATTTTCAAAAAAGAAATTTTCCGCGGAAATCACGATGTCAACCCTCCCCAAATGGGTGATCTGATGCTTGTAGGGCTTGAGAGTGGCCTGCCATGTCACAAGAAAGGACTGTGGTTGCAGGAGAGTAAGTACCACCAACCATCACTCTAGTTGGTATGGTACCCCACCTGCACCGATCGTCTGATTTCTTTTTTAGTTTCCCATAAGTAAGGTAGGTAGGTAGGTAGGTAGGTAGGGGCAGGGCAGGATTTTTATTTTTTTCTTTCTTTTGCAGAATTTCATCATGAGTGAGTGCCGCTCAAGCAAGAAGTACCCACACCTGCCCCGAAGGCACAGACACAGCCATGATTGCCGGCGGCACTGGTGCGTGCAGCGCCGCGCTTCTCGAGCAGGAGAGACCTCCTTTGACACGAGAACTGACCGAGTATTGTTCGCTTGTCGGTCGACAGGTACGAGCCTCGCGGCGGAGCTCGCTGTGCTCACCGAGAAGCTGTTCTATGAGGACGGCTGCATGCGCTTCTCCTTTGGCTACATCGACAGCACGATGACGCGCGCCGACGCCCTCGCGGCCGCTGGCACCGTCATCCCGCCCGGCGGAGAGAAGTGCGTGCCGGTTCCGACGGCGTGGTCAATTGATGAGCCGCTCGAGCAGCTCATCCGTGAGAGCCCTGGCCTGATCAAGCTCTTGACGCAGCCTTTCTTTTCGTCGGGCTTCAAGCTGTTCACCAAGGCGGTGCCGTGCGCGTACTTCTTCGGCGGGCAAGAGCAGGTGGAGGCGGAGTTCTCGCGCGACGTCGCCAAGGGCACCAACGTGCGCGACTTTCTCATCGCACTGCACGGCATCTTCGTCGACGCCAAGTGCCACCCGTGCGAGACGATGATGATCTTCGGCCTCGAGATGAAGGACGATGGCGTCTACGTCGAATGGGGGCGCTAGGCCCGTCTTTGAGTCGTCGCTGGCCACCTCGCACGAGCGCCCCCTCTGCAGAAGGGCCGTGGCGGACCGGGACGAGCTCTGGGAGGGGAAGTGCGTCAGTGTGAAATGTGAGGGTCCGCCCGCAGGCGCATTTTGTATACCGAGGCGGTGCCCGGTGCCGAACCTGTCGGACCTTAAGACCCAGCATTGTAGATCCCTGGGCGAGGGTGATGGGGGGAGGCCACCGGCCAAAACCGCGCGTGTCTTGTCTCTTGATACATTGAAGGTCCGACCGATACGGGAAGCCCATATACAGGCACCTTACACTCCCCCGCAGTATCGCACCTCTTGAGCGACACTACGTTTCCGCAGCTGGGGATTCTCCGGTTCCCCTCTTAGCTCTTTGTACCCGTGCTGGCCGGACGGATTCCTCCTCCGAACAAAAGACAAAACTCAAGTTCCAACTAAGTTCGATCGGCCCCAGTCAGTCTCGAACCGGCAGCCACTCATCTCAGCTGAGGTAGCTACCATGTCCGAGGAGGCCACCGGCCAAAAGCGCATGTCTTGAAGGTCCGATACTGGAAGTCCATTACGCGGCTTTGTTTTTGTTTTTGCCGCACCACCCTGCCAGGCTGCTCTCAATCCTAGCCCGGTAGAAAAGAAGGTTCATCCAGAGTGAGGTTTGGAACCACCCACGCCACCTGTTCCAGCGCCCGATCGAGGTTCGACGCTACGTGTCGAGCGCCGTGCGAGACCGCAGGATGATGTTCGTGGCCTCCCTCGCTGCTGCGCTGATCGTCCTATCAGCCGGAGCGCTCCTTTACAGCAGCTCACTCATGGAGGCCAGGTTCGACGGACGGCG